CAAATGGAAACTAATGGTCCATACATTTTCTTACTAGAATTGTTATTTTTAGTTTTTAAAATTTATTTATTTATTTTATATTCACGATCTTTATGTTAGAGATTACATGTCTTTAAAAATTAAGTCTCAAAATCTATCTCAAAAATAGATTTATTAAAAAGCCCACATTTCTACGTATTTCGACATATCATACCATCATTTATATTAATATGTTTATCTATTATTTTTATTTTTTAGAACTCTACATGACGACGATCATATAGCTGTATTACAAAGCACTTCTCGTGGGAAAAAGTCTAAGGCGAAGAATAATTATAATTTTTTGACAAGGAGCCTTCTCTCTCTCTCACGCCCGGGGATATCCCACTCCCCAACGAAACACGTTATCCGGACAAACGACATGAAATACATATTCGACACGTTTCGTGTTTCTGATTGGAACACTTGTCAATTTCTCCCAATGATTATCATAAATTAATAACAGGAGCCCTCTGTGTTTAAATGGCGTTCGCTGCTGCGTTTAAACAACGTGAGATACAAGTTCGGTTTCTGGAGAGCACGATACAGAGAGCGAGAGAGACACTCGGGCCTTCTGTAGCCTCGGTAGAATTGATCAGAGGAGAGCATCAAACCCTAGTTTCTAGGAAACCCTAATTCTGCACTCTGAACCTAGTTTTGATTGCGATTTTTTGGCATCTAAAACGGTAAGGCCACACCCTTTGTGGTCTCCACATCTAAATCATCCATTTCAAGGTGAGCCCTCCTGTTTCGTTTTTCGGCTTTTGTAGTTATGCATGAAGATCTGTTTGTCTTCCTGATGTTTTTCTTACATGTAATTGGCTGTGCTTTCTATTCATTGCTGGGTTTCGATCATCTGTTTTCTTTGTTACATGATTGTTTTCTTTATTGTTAATAGTTATTATTGTTGCTGTTTTTTTTATTGTTGTTATTAATAATAATAATAATAATTATTCTTTGTTTGATTGTTGCAGTATAAATGGGTCATATGTTACAGAATTAGGGTTTGATATTGGATGAGTTAACTGTTTGAATTGTGTTTATATCCTTCTGACAGTTTTTGATGATGGCATGGTCGGTACATGCATATATGTTCTTATTGTCCAATTAAGAAGGAAACTTGAAAACAATCCAATTGTAATATCTATTTAGAAATTTGTCCTTTTAATGATCCCTTGTGTTGTAGGCGATAGTGATTCTAATGGCCTTTGGATATTGGGGACTTAGTTTTAGCATATTGTTGATGGTCTTAAGAGACAGTCTCCTTTTTAGATGAAAGGGGATGCTGCGGCTGCTGCTGCTTCTTCTTGAATAGTGTCTATTTTAAGTGAACATTCCATTGTTTCTGGACCTGCCAATCTGTTTGGTACAGACCCATGTATTTCCTTCGGTGTAAGATTTGCAGGCTAAGTGTTATGGCACTGGCAAGTTTGGTTTTGTTGCCTCATAACTCGTCCAATGTTTGTTGCTTTCAATAACTTAGGATTGCCAACGAAGAATAGAGAAAAAAATAAAGATAATATTTATGCCTCTTGAAATAAACATTCTTGGATATTTTAGATATTCCCCAAATTTTGAAGAATTTGGATGTCGGTTAGTAATATATTAGCGTGGTCCTTGTTTTGATATTTGGGAAGTGAGAATTGAAATTCTTCTCAAGGTCATAATATGGGGATGACCGTGGCATGTCTAGTTGTCACCTATACTTAGTTTCATTCATTGGGATTTCTGTTTGGTGAAGATAATATACTTAGATTCTCCTAAATGTCTTAGTGACTGTATCATCTGCTGGATTTAGTCAATCCGACTCGAGCCAGTCTTCAAATTCAGTAATCTTATCTTCTTCATGCTAGTGATTAGATGTAGTTGGTTCTGATGAATATGCAGGATTTGTTGGTACTTGGTGGCAATATTTTATTGTCATGCTTGCATTCTGGAGCCCTTGTTTCTTTGAGATCCAATACCAAACCCTAATTTGTCTGGTGTTATGAAGGTTGCTAGTTTGTTTGGGTGTTCTCATGATCAGGTAATTGAGGTTGGTATTGTACGACTTCTCTCTCCTTTATTTCCCCTTTCTTACTTCTTGATAAGGGTGATATGTTTAGACTTCTCTCTAATTTCAGCATCTAGAATCCTTTTCTAATTATACCTGTTTATTAAGACTAAGGTAGAGATTTAAGGTTTCTCTATCAAGGCAGACATAACCGCTGCAAAATCTTCCTCACTAGCATTATTGTTGCAGGACTTATTTTGCTTCTCATGTCACAGTTTTGTGCCTGGACAACTCAAGAGTTTTACTTGCCGACATCTGTGGGTTTTGGTTGCATGGTACTCTGGCAACCACCATCCTGCCTTCTACACTCTTATTTATTTGATGGTGCTTGTATTCATAAGCGGCCATAGGGATAGCTATTTCTAGAAGATAGGTTGGTTAATTTTCATTTGGCCTATCTACAGATTATAGAAGGTGTCGTGGACATTATGATGGCCTTTGTTGGCCATGGTTGAAAGTGCCTCTATGCGAGATAGCTTGAGCTATCTCAGTTTCTTGAAACTTCAGTTAATTAGAAAATTTCTTTGGATATTGAGCTCAATGTGTAATGGGTGGATTCAATTGCAGCTTGCAGAATCTTGTTGGTATGGAGTGTTGCAATTGTGCAGCTGTATTCTTGAATTGCAGCAGTATCTGAACTAGCGTTGTTACTGGTTTTGGGGCATCAAGATTGGCTATTTGGAGTCTGGTACTCAATGAGGAGATGGGAATGAGGGTGTGACTATCGATTATCATCGTATTCTGATGCAAGTACATCACCTTTTCCAGTCATCATACTAATACAAAATAAGCTTCTGTTGCCTTGTATGATTGCTTGATGGGTATAGTCCTGGATGTTGCTTTGCCTAGATCTTTTGCTGGGCTCACACTTTCTTGCTAAGAAAATTGAATTTCTTTATGGATTGCAGGCCATGTTCTATATTAGTTTCAACATGTTCTGCTTTTTGACAGTGGGGAATGTCACTGGTCAGAAATGTGCATGATGTTTTGGGTGACAAGATGGAGTTTGATTCATCCTCTGATGGTGTACTAGTACTTACATCATAGGATTTATTTTCTGCCATTTGGATGCGCTGACCGACTGGTTCAGTATATGCGGGATACTGGGCTAACTACCCATGTTGCTGGGGATTCAGGTGGAACGAGCATTTCATAGGATCTTAAAGATAATTAGAGTGATCTGGAGCATAATGCGACATAGAGGTAATCATTTGTTGCTCAAACGACAAAGGCAAAAACAAAAGATTGATGACAAATGGATCTTCCCTACTCCCTGGACATTAAACCATTCAAGACAGTCGTTCGTGCTTCGATTCGAGGATAAGTTGTCTCAGGCAAGGTTTGCTATGAGAAAAGTACACTTATTTCATCTCTTCTGCTCCTGTTAATTCCAAAAATTGGAGTCATGAAGGAATACTGAAAGGCTTTTCACTTCTTGGGGAATTTACCTTCGTGTGCTGTGGTTGCGGGATGGAGCTTCTCATTCTTTTTTAGAAGTCCACCAAAATTTTGAACAATACTTTTTGAGTTTTGAGCTGCGTTGGTGCTGGCTCGTCTTTCTGCATATAATAGGGTTTCTTGGAAATCCGAGAAGCAAGGTGAATCATTTGGCAACTCTTTGTGACCTCATATGAGAGAAGCTTATCATTTGTCGATACATGTTGTGCCTCCTGTATATGGTATAGAGTTTGACAGATGTAATACTAGAGGGCTTTGTTGTATGAAAACTTCAAATTGCCTTCATATGTGTCTGGTTTTCATTATAGGGAGATTTGGTGCTCAAATTTTGAGGGACTTTTGAGACCTCCCTGTTTTGAATGTAGCCTTGTGTTTGGAGATAAACATTATCATGTATGGATCTACACTATTGCTATCAAATTAATCAAATAAATCCTTTCATTATATATGAGCCTTTTCTGCTCCGTGGGATTTCATATTGCAGGTGGGGAAGAAAGCTGATCTCTCTTTCCTAATGATATTTTGACAAGTGGTTTGCAGGTTCTTTTGATTTCATCATTTGTTGTAATTATGTAGATTGCAATATTGAGGCTCATATGTTACTAGTTGATGCACAAGATGTGATGCTATAAGCATATTCACTCTTCACGCCACGAGCATGAACTCACTAACTTGCAGGACTACTTCCATTTTATTTACTGCATTCTCATTGCATTACAGAAGGAAGCTTGCTAATCATGTTTTTCCCTACATCCCATAATGTTAAGGCAAAGTAGAACCTCAGTGAAGTTAAGGCAAACTAGAACCTCAGTGAAGGATGTTATGTTGCATTGTAGATCAATTTCCATTGTTGAAATGTGCAAAAATATGCATAGCTACTAGTATTGTTACTTAAATGATAATAAAGCTAGCTAGTTATATATCCCACAAAACCTTGCTGCTGTGTATTTAGGCCATGAGGAAATATGCTCCTAAACTTTTGGATTAGTTGTGTGACATAGGCATCTATGGTTTATCTTTTTTGGATTGGGGTGTTGGGTGGAAGGGTTAGGGTTGTGTGTGTGTGTGTGACGACAATGGCCAATGGGGGCATTTGGTACGATCAGACAGTTAGCATGAGAATGGTTATCAGTCAGACCAGTCAAATATACAAAATCATAAAATACAGATAACTTGATGAAAATAAAGAACCTGATAAAATATAGAAAAATTGCAAGAATTTCACAAAAATTGTTTTGAAAAATAAGGAAATTATAAAATCATAAATGCATGAGATTAGAAGCCAACAGTACAAACTACAAAATTGTAAAAATGTCACATGGAGGACTGCACCAACGCACTTTTTCACAAGTCATAACCGGTTAAACATTGTATTTGTGAATTTTGAAGGGCATTAAGCAAGTAAATTAGTAAAATGAATTCCATGTTCATTCAAATTACAAAGCTCCACAACTGCACTTATAAATTGTGTCCCTCTCTCTCTTTGACAGCCACAAATCATAAACACATAAAGCAAAAAAAAAAATCCAATTTTAGATTGTTACATAATTGATTAAATAACATGTAAATGCTAAAACACAGGAAAACAAGTCTTATGTGATGTTAATCTTGACTGCCTTCTTCATCATCATCACTATGACCTCCATCACCTTCATCATTGATATTGCCTCTAGTGAAACCCTTAAAATCCTAATTGCCACCACCTATGAGAAAGATTTTGTATTTACTTTTATATTACTAACATACCATATGAACCTAGGAGCCTTGAGTTAACCAAAATTCCAAAGCAAGCACTTAAAGCTTAATACCTGTCAAAAACGTTACCTCCTAGTAGGGCTTCCATCTCCATCCAGTTATGTGGAATGTCTTCCATGCCTTTGAGAGGCTACTCTTGCCTGATGACCGATTCTCCATTTCCTCAGGGTCAATTGGGTCTGAGCAGGTCAATTGGGTTTGAGCATGTGGTTTTCGAATGGTCTTACATTCCTCAATATTTTACTACTTCAGAAATTAGGCGAGCGAACCTACAATATCCCCTCTAAGAGTTTCGTCTTTTTTGTTTTGGGGGGGGGTTTGGGGGAAGGGCTTGGGGTTGGGGTGGGGGGGTGATGTAGTCCTGGTAACCTACCAAGGCTGAGTAACTCCGTGACTCTGAGTTGAGCTCGCCAAGTTTTTACACCAGTTTGCAGTTTGCACCATTCAGCTGACATTGAACAACATAGAAAACAATGTTCGAGATCGTAATTTGTATTGAACTCCAATAAATAGACACTCTAAAATCAATTTACAAATTAATACATGCAATAATGGAACTTTGAAGACAGAGGATAAATTGAATTACCTGGATATCATCGCAAGTTTTCACTGTCATCTCTGACAAAATCTCCTTGAATTTTCTCATACATGCTCATCCCCGTCCCATTCCTCACTTTCATATGTCTATCAAGACAGAACATCTCAATCATGGTATGCAAGCCTTTTGAAATCTCTAGATTGGAGAAAAATGTCACTTTGTTGTATATCAAAACTTTTGGGTTGAGCCAATAAGTGCTGCATGTATGAGCGATGGAACTGCATGTCCCATTTCTTATCAATATATTATCTCCCTATATTGCCTGTACTTGGACTTCTTGTACTTAGAAGTTGCAGTAATAGCCTCCTTTACCTATCCATTGCTTCAAAAATATGACCCATGGCAAGCTTAGTATAAAAGTCGGCAATACTAAATACATTCACCAAATGCTTTGTGACTGTGATCACATTGGCAACTATGGTGCCAAATTTGAATCATGATATGGGCAAGCCTTTTGAAATCTCTAGATGGGTGGAACATGTTAATTTTTTGCAAAAACGTTTTGGATTAAGCGAATAAGCAGCTCTATGTGTGGGGCGATACAACTATTATGCCATCTCTTATCAATAAATTCTGAATAATGCCAATACTTAATTCTTAATAACTTCAGCAAGGGTTCAATCCTCATACTTCACCTGGTTAAAGGCTCTGTGACTCTAATCACATTGGCAACTGCAGTCTAAAATTGGCTACCAAAGATTGAGTCTGCCATACCCCTCCCACTACTCTTTCTTACCCATATAAAATCCACCCAAACACTTGAGTTGACCATGGCCCCCAAGACATCCTTCTGCTGCAATATGCTTTGCAAAGTAACGAAATTGGTTAGGAACCTCGTAGTTTTTGGCCGCACTAGCTTCTTTCCATCGAGCTTCCTCACTAGATAGAGTACAAATGAATGATTCTTGATAAATTTGTAATGCTTCTTGCTGTAAAACCTCTGCAACATCCTCCCTTTCTTTATGTCCTTGAGCATCACCAAGTCAAGAAATAGCAGGGTTGTGATCTTTAACCCTCCATACTAGGTTTTGTTTATGTAGTAGGAAGAACCCCTTCTAAGACAAATTAAATTGTTGCTATAGAGCAATGTTTCTTTAACTCATGTTTTGTGGGAAAATTGAACCACTATAATTATATTTACCTTAGCAAAGTCTTTTGCATTTGTTAAAAGAATATAAAATTTTGAATGTGAAGGACTACGAGGACCTCAAGCACATGTTCTCCAAATATGAAGATTTGAAGCAATTGTGGATGTCTGAGAGTGTTAGAAGTATTACTATGATGCAGTGATTTAAAAAGCGGCTAACTAGTGCCTAGGTGGCCGCCTAGGCTGGCCAGGGGAGCCTGGGCACTGCGGCCATTCTGGGTGGTGGGTGGGTGCCCACCTAGGGGTGAAAATGTCCCATGTAGAGGGGCATTCTTGGTTGTTTCCCCCCTTAAATAAGAGGTGGGGGGGGGGGGGGGGGTGTTATGTTCTTGTGTAACCTAAACCCGTTTGCTTTCTTTTGGAGTGATTTTTTTTTTTGAAAAGAGCACTTTTTTATATTTATGTGAGATTGATTGGGTATTTCAAAGTTTAAACAAATGTATCCAAACATCATCCTTTTGGTTTGGAATTGATTTTGTGGAATTTTGAAATTGTTAAGAACGCCTTTAGGAAGCATTTGAAATTGGAAAACATCTCAAACTTCTAAGTATTGAAGATTGAGCAAAAAGGTTAGTTAAGAATCTTAATATTTGCGATTTTATTTGTTATTTCAATGTCTTGTTTGGGTTCTTCTACAGGTGTTGATCCCAATGTTTTAAAAACGGTCCGCTCGGCGCTTAGGCGGCCTGGACCAAAATATCGCATGCCTAGACCCAGGCGGCCCACACGGGCACCTTGGCGGGCGCCCAGGCGGGTGCCCAGGGACGTGGGCTTTTTTTTATTATATATATATATATATATTTTTATTTTTTTTCAATTATCCAAAAGGGAAAAAGACCCCCCAAAAATGTTTAAATAGGTTATGGGGATTATTTCAACCCCTAAAATTAGAAAAACAATTCCATAAACCCTTAATGTCTTAGCTATACCTATTTCAGGCCGTTTCGGTGTGATTCGGAAGCTTCGACTAAAGCAAAAAATTGTATTTTTTAATATTTATTGTTTTTGAATTTTTTATTTGTAAAGTTTTTATTATTTCAATATATTTTTATATACAAGTATGTACTTTATCTATATCACAGTTTTTTAAAGATTCTGAATTCTTCCTCCAAATCGGCTGAAGCACCTAATTGCTTTGTTTTTCCTACCAAACTGAAGAAGGCTCCGAAGTGAATTTGACAACACTGGATGGAGGTGTGGAATGTAGATAAGGCAACCCATGGAATACAAGGGTATAAATTATTGAGAGGCGGTTTCATTGCTAGCTAAGATCCCTCCACGGACGAATTGGTACTTCGTTTTTCCTACCAAACTGAAGAAGGCTCCGAAGTGAATCTGACAACACTAGATGGAGGTGTTGATAAGGCAACCCATCGAAGACGAGAGTATAAATTATTGAGAGGGGGGTTCATTGCTAGCTAAGATCTGTCCATGGATGGATTGGTACTTGGAATTAAGAGCAGACAAAAATTTTGCAACTCTAAATTCTTCTAGTTGCTTCTTCAGTTGCTCCATATCATTTGATAAGGGCGGGTACTTGTTTAACCCTTCCTATATGCCTTAGAGTGTGCTGTGATATTCTTTATGACTTTTGTCACCTTGATGTAAAAGGACTATACTCTCTTAGGGGCCGTTTGGAT